GCATCCCAGTAATTTCTTGTACCTTGTACTATATTCATCTATAAATAAAGGACTGGTCGACTGGCTAGTACAGTTCGACATTCTCTTCAGTTCTGTGGTTCTCTTCTCTTCCTTGCCACTTCGAGTATAGCTCTTTAGTTTACAAATATTATAATTATTGAGCCTTAACATGTGATTCATGAATTATATTATTATTCTGATTCATACAATTTGAATCAATTTGGTAATAACCTAGTTATTACAATAAGATATATTTGGTCTATTTAAAGCCTATCTAAAAACAATTAGTTAACTATTCATCACAGTTAGGCTAAAGAACCTATTACATGTGGGTTTGTCATCTTCAAGGTTAAACTTGGTTATATGATCTTATAGTGTACAAGTGGCAAACTTTGTTTTCTTAGTTATTTATATGGTGGGTGTGGATTGGAAATGTGTTAAAATCATACTGCATATATTTAATATTTTAGTATATATACATATACATACATACATATATATATATATATATATTTGAGAATTTTCTAAAAAAAGAAATCATCTCATGATTTACGACACAGTTCACAATTCTCTATGACTTGAGATGCACTTACAATTTTCAAAACATTGCCCAGGATAGATGTCCCTTAATCAAAACTATGGCATTTCTACATATTAGTTGGAGTATGTGGTAAAGATTAGCATGTTTATGTACTCAATTCCACACCAAATTATTGGCAAGTAACAAGGGCCAAAGATAATGCAAAGAGGTTCTGATGCTAASATAACCCATCAAACCACTAATGGCCTACCCATAAAGTTGACAAGAGATCAAAGCCTTTATTTGCACCTTGTAAATCAATAAGCATCTCCAAATCTAACAGGATTATGTGCCTCCTTATCTGTTGCCTCACTCCATTATTAGTTTGGATCATCTGACATCTCCTGTGCAGTAAGTGTTTCATCAGCAAGCCTATTCTCAGAATATTCACTTTTTTAGTCACCAGATCTTTATCTACATCCACTCAGCTCAACATAACGCCTTCTGATATTGTTGTACCTTATCACCCCTAATTTGTCAAGTCAATCAGATCAAGATGGCATACCATATGGTTATCCCTCTACAATTGGATTCTAACTTCCTTAGGATTTTTCCACCTTTGGAGGAGCAGTAGATGTATCTCAAAAATTGTTAACTAAATCTATATCTATACTTACTACTACTAACAGGATTATGTGCCTCCTTATCTGTTGCCTCACTCCATTATTAGTTTGGATCATCTGACATCTCCTGTGCAGTAAGTGTTTCATCAGCAAGCCTATTCTCAGAATATTCACTTTTTTAGTCACCAGATCTTTAKCTACATCCACTCAGCTCAACATAACGCCTTCTGATATTGTTGTACCTTATCACCCCTAATTTGTCAAGTCAATCAGATCAAGACGGCATACCATATGGTTATCCCTCTACAATTGGATTCTAACATCCTTAGGATTTTTCCACCTTTGGAGGAGCAATAGCTGTATCTCAAAAATTGTTAACTAAATCTATATCTATACCTATACTACTATTAAAAGTACAAATGAGAGTGTGATACTTTTGTTTGACTAAAATACCCCTATCTTTGAATTTGGTCCCTCTCTAATTTATGGTGGCGGAAAATGTAATTTGAACTATTACTTTTCACCCCATTCAATTCCCTCTCACTAAACCTCGAATTAAGGTATTAACTCCTATTATCCTTCATTTATTCCTACTCTTGACTAAAATATCCCTACTTTTGACTTTGGTCCCTTTCTAATTGCGAGGGCAGAAAATGTAATTTAAATCACTAATTTTCACCTCATTCAATTCACTCTCATTAAGTCTTATACTTAAAGTATTAACTTCCATTCTCTCCCATTGAATCCTATATTTAGTTATATTTTTTCTCACCGATAAATTTTTTAAATTAGATCTAAGATACTTTAAACAATATAAARCCCATGTTTTTTTATTAACCGACCCAAAATGGAAACCACTCTTCCATCTTGGTGGTAGGTAAGCATTCAACCATTTGGATCAAATGGGACAACCCATGATTTCATAGTTGAATAATAAAACTTTTAAAATAGAAATAAATAAAAAAATGAAAATTATAGAATAATTTGAACATCTTTAATATTTACATTAGTAATATTAAAAAATGTGATAAATATTTTCTTTTGAAAAATGTAAAGTAATTAATTAGAAACAAAACCAGAATACAAGAGGCCCCCAGAGAAGAGCATCCGAAGGCCAGGAACCCAGAATTACATCACAAACTTAATAAATGTGATAAATAATAATTTTTAATTGATGTTGGAAATGAAATACAAAATTTAAAACCAACCTAATATTAAACAAAAATAAGTGTGATAAATAAGAATTATTTTACACATATAAATATAAAAAATGGAAACATACTATTGCTATCATTGTCATCATCTAAAATTTCTATGTGCAAAGCATGTGCACATTTGCTAGTATTTTTCAAAGAGAAGTAACACCTAGGACAAGATACGGAATGAGGTCATCAAGACCAATAAACTTACTTTTGGTTTGAGAAGAAACACAGTTTTGTAGAACCCAAAGAGTATAGCACGCACTGTCAAAATGCAACTTAGCCTTAGCAAGCATGGAAGAGAATAGGTCCTCTATATTATATGCAGACAATACTGTAACTGAGTTCAGCCCTTACATCCATTGACAACAAAATTCATCAAGTGGAAGATCTTCTGTGTTGTCCAACCATATTCTGGTACTCTCATTTGGATCCGGGAAAGTTGTACCTGTAAAACAAAGATACAAGTAATTTTCATATCAATTATGCAGGATGTGTGTGTGTGTGTGTGTATGAGAGAGGGAGAGAGGTAAAAAAGATGAACATGGTTGATAAATGAGACATGAATGGAGGTATATTTTTTGAATTAGAAGGAATAACAAGATTAAGAATATATCTTCCTGCTGATTAAAGGTACTCTATGGAACCCTGAAGCAGGTGGACATTAATTTAGTTACTAGGGAAAAATGATGTATATTTCGTCATAGATGGTAAGGAAGCAACACTAAGTATAATGTTGCAACACTAAGTATAACAAGATTAAGAATAACAAGATTTGCTTATGGCTTAAATCATTTCATTTTCTTAGATTAGATCCAGAAGTCATAATAATGCAAAAAGAATGTATTGAAAACTTTACTGTCTCAATGAATCAAATAATAATAACATTTAAGTGCCTCTCCATAGAAAGTCAGAGACCAGGATATAGGAAGAGACTATAAGGAGGATTGATATAACCACTTGGAACGAAAATGATTACAGAAAATGAAAGACAAATGGTGACAATAAAGCATACAATTTAAAATATATATTATGTGTTAACCAAAAAAGTGGCTGCAATTGAAAGAGCTGAAGAAATGTTAACCATTCCTAAATTTTTAGGGAACAGAAAACTGGAAACACTGACGTCCTACCTGTCTTCAATTGGATTTTATCATAAGGTGTAATCATTTTCATGCTTCACATGAGCTTAGCCACTACTTGACATTATAAATTAATATGGCGAGGAAGAGGAATTCAAGCAAGTAAAAAAGGGAAGACATGAGTTTCTGTTTCATTTGAATAATCTATTTCTTTTTCTAATTATTGGTACAAACTACAAGAAGTTTGAATTAGAGTAGGACCATAGAATTAAACTTTCAGTAACAACAGAGATGTTTAGTTTATTTAGTATTTGGTTGATCATTTCTATATGATAGCCAAGGTTCCGCAAAAATCATTCTGACAGAAACCCAAAGTTCTTTGAAGGGTTCTAGAGCATTTCTTTTTGATGAATAAGGGATTAAAAATATTTGAAAATACTTGAATATATTTTCTCTTTGAAGAAGAAAAGTACATGCAAAATATAACTATTAAAGTAATGATACAATGTACCTCCTGTTATCGTATAGATCACTTTAGGAACTTTCTCCACAAATAGAAAGGTCTTGAAGAATTTCTGTATTGTGCTATTTGGCATCAAATTAGTGCTATAAGATACGGACACTGCTGTTGTTGAATGAGGAAATATGCAATTCAAGCACATTTGCATATTATTAATTAATGACTACAGTTGTGAGTACTGTATATTGACATTGTACAGAAACACAATTTTAGGAATTACTTACAGAAACGGAAGGTCTTGAAAAAACCTTCTTTTAATAGTAAATTCTTTCTAGTACTTTTGAGATTCTAAGTTGTAGAAAAGTTCTATAATAATCTTGAGTCAGGTTGGGCCATAAAAGACAATTCATGAACTCGGTCCTTGATGACTCTTCTTCCTCAAATACAACTTAAATAATCGAACCCCACATATTCATCCCTCCCTCAAGATGTTTGCCAACAAAACAATGCATGTTTCCGAATCTGCTCTTAGTGCCCGCTGGAACTAAAAATAGATCCAACTCCCTGTGAATTGCATGCCATCTATAATTATATACACAGTAAGAATTTGCATATTAAAGAATTTCCATCACCAAGAGATGAATCAAACCAGCACAAGTTCACCTTTCTCTAGAGAGAATCGCTCATGAAAAGCCACACGGGGAAAACCGGACTACGCAGGAACTAAGTTCCGTCAAAATGTAATTCCTATGTCACAGTAGTTTTCTTTATTTTCTTAATTAGTAGGAGCTTAAACATGCAAAAAAAGAAAAACGAAAAAGCCTACGCGACGTTAAGAATTAATCTTCATTTTTTTCTCTTTTGTATTAAAAGAAAAGGGAAGGAAAAGGGAAAAAATTACCAAGGCGACGAGGGCAACGAGGGAATAACAAGCGCAGAGAGAATAGAAAAAGCCTTGCTGCCATTGTTCCGAGTTCAGGATCTCATTCCACCAGTATAATGCGACTCCTACGACTCCTCTTCCACTGTAATTCCCCATCTCGTCCTTGGGGACGAGCCTCCCCATTCGCTATAGCAGACTAAGCTCGAACTGCAAATGTAATAGAGAAGGAGGAGGGAGGAGTTGGAGCCGATGAAGAAGTCGAGACATCCGTCTGTTTGTTTTCCAGCAAATTGTGAAGGGAGATCGGTAAGAGAGTTACATGGAAGAACACGTGGAAACAAGAGAATATACACAGATACATGCAACAATTAGCCACGTGTCGTCTAATAACGACCACTTCGTCCTCGTGGCATATTCGTTAATTGCGCCACGAACAATCCTTTCATTGTTAGGTTTTTTTTGGGTAAGATATGAAAGCTCCCTCAGGTTTCTAACGATGATAAAAAGTTCCGCTCTCACAAAATCCTCCTCTAGTGTTATTTTCTTCTCCCAATTTTAAAATATTACAATTTAGAATCCGAACTTTTAAAACGTGTCAATTCAGTACTTATTATTAATTAGTTGTTAATTAAACGTTATAAATACCTTTTAAGTTTCATCTAATTTTTTTTATCAATCATCGAAACATTAATAAAAAAATTAATAGTTTTAAATTTTTATTTTTTCTATTCAAGAAAGTTGGGAGCACGTCTCAACAGGCATTTTGGACCCTAGTTTTCTTGAATAAAAGAGGTAAGGATTTAGGACTATTATTTTTTTGTCAACATTTAGGTGGTTGATAAAGAAAATTAGATGATACTAAAGAACATTTATATCTTTTTCAAAGGCATGTAATGGCTGATTTACGGTAGGTGCTGGATTGATACGTTTTGGAAGTTTAGATACTAAATTGTCACATTTAAAGTTCAGGAACCAAAGTGGTACTAAACACAAAGTATAAAATATTAATCGGGAATTTTTTCTTTTTTTTTATGGACAGAAATCTAATGTGTAAAAATTACCCATTTTACCCTTATACCTATCAATTTAGATGAAAATTTACTAAAATACTTTCAAAGGAATTGTCACTTTTAATTAAAAAAGATATCCAATTATATTGAAAAGAATAAAGTAATTAGGATTCTCTAGTAAGACGTAAGGGTAATTTCATGACCTTGAAGTCTATTACTGGAACCAGGTTGGAAGAGAGGTAATTTCAGGTTTTTGGTAAACTATAGGAGAGGTTTTTAATGAAAGTAAAACCTAAGAAAAGATTTTTATGATTGTCAAAAACTTTTTCGAGAGATTTTTATATTTTACAATTTTCTCAATCCTTTTCTGGTTCTTGCCTGTTGCTTTTTTGTGTCGCAACTCTCAATGGAAATCAAAGGAAGAATAATGGGCTAATGGGCTAATGGGCTGTATGTGCCCGTTTGGTATTTGGGTTATAAATCATGAAGACTTTCGCAGTTTACTAAGACTACTACAAGAATAAGGTGTGATCGAACCAAGCCGAATTTTAGCATGTCTTGGCTTGGTTTCATTCAATGCTATTAGTTTTGAATTAGAACTTAATCAAGTTAGGCTTGCAAACTTTCAAACTAAATGTTTTATTGGTTGAGATTGAATTAGAATAACTAATCAAGTTTACCCTGAGATTCGATCTTGATTACATTCAAACTTGAAGCAAGCCTAATCAAACTCAAACCCACATTATTCAATTAGAGCTCGACTCAATCTGCACTATGTACCTGATATAGCTGTAGAGGAGTGATATTCTATGAAACCCTATATCCCCACCAATTAAAGATAATATTTCAGGCCTAGCTTGGGCTATGTCCCTCATCAAATTAGTAGTAATCATTTCTAACTTGGCCCAGCCCATAAATTTTTTGGCTTAGGCATGGGCATTGTGTTATTTTATATTATAAATATAAATATTGTACATACAAAATATATTATGTATAATATTTTATAGGGTAAATTATAGATAGGTACCCTGTAATTTAGGGATAATCTCACTTCAAGGCTTAAACTTTCAAATGTGCCATTTTAGTACTTAAACTTCCATAATTATACCTTTAGGGCCATGTTCACTTTTCGGTAAGTTATTTACTTGGGTAAGTTTTTCTTAGGAAACACATACCCGGTAAGTGTATTTTACCCATGTTCTTTTATTTCTCATATAAATAAGGCAATGACCATTTTAGCTATAAAAAACCATTATTAAAAAGGGGTTTTGTCCCATTCAAGTGTTGGCAACTTTTCCCCTAAATGGGAAAGTWATTTACCCACGCCTAGGAGATGGGTATCACCTACCCGGGTAAGTGGTACCAGGAAAATAAACTTTCCCTAGTCCCCACATAAATATGAAAAAGAAATGGGATTCTTGGTCAATGGGAACCAAAATCCCATTGACCAACTTTCCCCCTCTCAAAATCTGAAAAAAGAGCTCCCCCTAGGTAGGGTGCAAGTCAAGCGGGTTGGACCAAGTTTTTTGTCAACCTAAGCCCAACCCTAAGATTTGGGCCTAAAGCTTGAGTCTGGCCAAGCACGAGGTCAAGTCTGAATTTTCCAACATGAGTCTAGTCCACATTGTTATTTGATGCACTCAAGTCGGTCTCGAGGTTAGGGTTGGTAATAAACTGACTATAAAATTACATATGTATGTATTCATTGATGTAAATACATATCTATATATGTTTATATGAATGTGTATAGTCAGGCCAAGTTTGGGCTACCTAAGTGTTATAGGCATGGGCCTATCCAAAATCTTAAGCCCGAGCCCAACCTAAGGACTAAAAATCCAAGCCTAGCCAGTGTAAAACTTTGGTCTAGGCCAATCTAGACTTGGGTTGAATCCACCCAAGTTGCACCCCAACATTTAGGGATGCAAATGGATTAGACCAGATTTAAATCCAATTTGACATTGTTCATGTCGGATCCAATCCGATTCGAAGATCCGACCGAATCTGATAGGACACGATTTGAATTCAAATCCTATAAGATCTTCAATTTTGATTTGATCCGATTTGTTTTCTTTAAAAATTAATAAATTATTAAAAGAAAAAAATAAAATATACCAATTTAAATAAAGAAAAAACAAAAAATACAAGTATTTTGTGATTATTTTCATCATATATATACATATTTATTTTTTATAAAAAATAAATAATATAGAAAATTTATAAAAATACAATATAAATAATATATTTATAAATAAATAAATAAATAACATATTATATATATATATATATTTATATTTATAAATATACAACACATCAGATCGGATCTTCTCGAATGGGATAGGGGGTGATCCGAATCTGAGCTAAAGATCCAACTAGGAGTGATCTGAATTCAACCAAATAGGATTGGATCGAATCATGATCTGATCCATTTGCACCCTACCTACGTTTAGGCACAATTTGGAAATAGTATAAATACAAACATGTACAAAATACAAGATTTTACACTCTACATATTTGTATTTGTACTCCTTAGGCTCAATTTGGAAGGAGTACAAATACAAATATGTACAATACAAAACCCTGAATTTTGTATTATTTTGTATATATTTGCACTGTACATATTTGTATTTGTACTCTTTCCAAATTGAACCTTATAAGTCCAACTCCAATAAACTAACATTGTTATAAGGGATAAAATTACAAAAGTGTCCATGTTCTAACTCTATTTTTTCACTGTTCATCTTTTCTTCTATTTCTTTGGACCTCAAACACAAACCAGCAAACAAGCAAAGAAGCATCCAAAAGTGAGACGACTGTCCCGATGAACAGGTAAACTTACTTTGATRTTGCTGATTTGCATTAGAACTCCAAGGGTAGAAGAAGATGAAGAGTGAAAAAAGAGAATCACAACATGGGCATTTTCATACTGTAATGTTATTCTAACGGAGCCAAACTTGAATGTATATTTCTGCAAGTTCAAATACTAAAGTGGTACATTAAAAGTTAAGGCCCTAAAGTAAAATTACCCTGAAAGTATGTTTCTGTAAGTACCTATCTGCAATTTACCCTATTAAACATATATTATATTATATATAATATACAATATAAAATTTTATATTATACATATAGAATATATTTTCTATAATATATGTCATAATATAACATATTTGAAGTTATTGGCCTAAAAGCCCGGTCCAGCCCCGTATAGGACTGGCCTAGGCTTATTTTAGGCCCAAGGTGCAAGCTACGCGTATCCTGGGTTGGGCTAAGCCACTTATCTAGGGATTTGAAACATGGGTTTGACTCAACCCAAATCCAAGCATCACCAACCCGAACCCATCTCGATCCAACCAAACAAAGCAGAAGGCTAACCTGATCTGTTCCACTTGTAGTGCTCTTATACTCAACCAAGAGTATATATATCAAAATGTTGAAATGTTGTAATATCAACAGATAGGGTTAAGCACAAATCTACCCCAACTTGAACCTGATCTAAAACGGTAAAACCCATTTGAACCTGATCTAAAACGGTAAAACCCATCTAAGGCTGACCATCTGACCCAACCCTAACCGATAGGGTCGGGTTAATGGGTTTGCTGCTTGACCCAACCCACAAACTTCCCTAGTCATTGGTGCTAAGGTTTGACTCAGTTGAGCCATGATCACCCCTAATTTACTCTGTAATTGGTAACGTGAAGGACCTGGCTGTAAGTGTAGGACATCAACCATAAATCGTTCAAATATAGGGAGCAACAGTTGAATATAGACAGCTAAATGCCGTTTGAGAGGGTTTAAGTGCAGTGACTTTTGGCTTTTTGATGTGGTCTCTACATGGACAGCCTATTTAAGTTATGTTGGTGAAAATTAAATGAAAATTTGTCTGATTCAACCTATGACTTATCTTTGAAGCAGTTGAACCAACTTAACTGAATCTTTAACTTAGCCCTCTAAATAGGATTAACTTTGGCTGTTGGGGGCCAACAGCTTTTCTTATTGAGAGAATTTTTGAGTTGGGCACATTCACGGCAGTTTACCAATTCATGGGCATGCTTTTGATTTTACTCAAAATAAATCAATGGACAATTACTAATTTACTCACTATCATGGTAGCGTGTCTCTCAACAGAAAAGGCTCGTTTTTCTCTCTAAATAGGCTCTAATATTTTTATTTTTAATATGTTTGACTATACTGAACTGAACTAATACGTTAGATGCAAAATAAACTAATAAAAAGTGGTTGTGTATTCAATATTCCCTAGCATTAACGATGTCATACCAAATAAATAAAATTAAATAGGTCAAAGAATGCCTTTTTTTTTCTTATTCTTTTTGGTAGTTTCAAATAACGTGAAATACACTCCTTTCAAAAGGACT